ACTAGCATTACCACCATCCCATCCATTAAAAAGTTGCTCGTGAACACTTTTGATGGCCATGTGCCAAAACTTGTTTGAATCAATGGGGAATCTCCAAAGTCATTTACCCAAAAAAGAAGTATTCTTGAAACATACTTATCCTACCCAAACCCCCTCCTCCTTAATCTTGTTGTCCTGCACTCCATTTTCCAATTGATTGAGTGATCCTTTTTTCCCTTCTCCTGGTTTCCAAAGAAAGTCTCTTATTATTCTCTCAATCTTTTTTGTTATTGAAACCAGTATTTTAAACACTGAAAGGTAGCAAACTGGAAGATTGTTGGAATGGATTTAATAAGTGTTATCCAACCACCAATGAAAATGCACTTCTTCTTTCACACTGTTATTCTTTTGGTAAATCTATTTTAACCACAGAGCAGTAGCATACCCTAAGATTTTTGCGTATCTCCTCAAATCACTCTCTTCTAAGTTTAAGCACTCTAAACAAATCTTCACCATGTTTACTTTCAAACTAGCAATTCTTTCAAAACACTTCACTAATAGCTGAAAGTTTCTCAAATCCTCTTCACCCCTATCCTGACAAAAGATCATGATATCTTTAGCAAAGAGCAAATGTGAGACCACCACTTTTTCCCTACATGTCCGCCAACCATTCAGAAATACCAACTCATCTACCCTGTAGATTAAACAGCTATGGACATCAATTAGAATGCTAAACAGGAATTGTGATAGTGGATCCCCCTCCCTTAGACCTCTCCTAGCTTGGAAGAAATCCTACCTACCCCATTGACCAAGACAGAGTAGTGACAAGATTGGGTGCAACTACTAATCCACTTCCTCTATCTGTCACCAAAACCACACTTCTTCAAGGCCAGGTCCGGAAAGACCAACCCACATAATTGTAGGCTTTCTCCAAATCAAGTCTGCAAACACAGACCTTACACCCTTTCCTCCTCAATTCCTCCACACTTTCATTGGCTACCAGGACTTGGCATGTAATTTATCTACTCGAGATGAAAGCCCATTGTTTTGAGATATTAGGACTTAGGAGTTGTAACACTTTCTTCAATCTTAGGGAAAGATCTATGACAATGATTTTGTAAAGGATCCTTATAAGACAGATGAGCCTAAAGAGGTCTGGAAGCGGTCAAGGACTTACGGACAAGAGAAACAAATATAGTGCTTACTCCTTCTATTGATGATACCCCTCCCATGCAACTCCTAAACACCTTCAATTGTAAATCCATTTGGTCCTGAGGCTATAGAGGCATTCATATCAAACACTACCATTTTCACTTGAAACTCCTCAAAGGGTCTCTCCAAGGCAGTGGCCAAGTCACTGTCTAGCCTTAGCCAACCAAACAAGTAACAGAAAATCTCGGAGTGAGTGAGGAACCATAAACAGACTTGAAATGATCAACCAAAGTTTTAGCTATCAATTCTCGATCAAAAATATCTTCACCATTCAAGAACCAACATCAAGACATAGTTCTTCTTCCTATTGTTAGCTAGCTGATGGAAGAACCACTGTTTACCAACCCCAAGTGAAATCATCTGAACCTCTCAGTCTCAGTTTGACTAATACAATAAAATTTCCTATCAATTCATCTACCACAAAAACATTCACACCATTCCCAATAGTAATGATTCCACCAAATCACCCCCAGGATGGGAACATGATCCATTTTACATTCATGCCCTTAGAAATGCTCCTAACCGAGCCGAAATTGCACCTGGTAAAGATAGCCTACAACAGAGGTCACCTACACATGCAAAAGTTGTTTGACATATGGGTTGTCCATTCACTAAACAAGCTGCACCCAGCACAGGTTTCTAGTATGTTGCCTTCCCTACTTCCAATGAGGCTCCCTAGCCTCACTTCCCAATTCCTCCGCATGAATCACCATTATTTTAGAGGCATTAGGCCCAAGAAGTAGCCCATTGCACTACCCCTTCCTTGATTTATTGCATTCCATCTTATCAAGGAGAAGACATCTTTCAGGAAGATCTGAAAACCAGCAATACCTCCAGCCAAACCCGTACCGAGAAAACAATGTCGTCCGCTTTCAAATCAATCTTCTTCAACAGTTATGCTCATCCAATAATTTCCACTCCAATAACATGTCCTAATTTCCACTGACGAGATCAATTTCCATGAATACACCATAAAAGTCTCTGGATTTCATCACATTGAGGCACAATTATGGGAGTCGTAACCCAAAAGCTTTGACCCAAATTTCACCAGGGGCCCCTTGCTCCCTCCTTTGAAGTACAACCAACTCGAACTCCCAACGAGGTGAAATCTTCCCATCTGCCAAGGGCCTTGGCAACAAAGGCTGCATTGTATTTTGACAAAAGAATAAATAGGAACAAACCTTGTGGCATTTTCTTCACCGGAACTCCAACAACACCCTTCCTCACCCATTTGTCTACCTACATCAAACCCCCTCCTCCTCAAACTTCCCAAGCAGTTATCTCTTAAGCAAGTCCTAACTAGCATTTACCTTGCCTTCATCTACTTTGAAAAAGTGCATTCCCAATCCTTTCTAATGCTCACATCACCGATGCACGGTCAGGCCCCTGAATCCGTAGCCTCTCTCTATGGGAGATGTCAGGTTTTACTCTCACTACATTCCACCTCCAGTTCTACTGTTCTACCAAAAACCTGACTCTCATCTTCTAATCAACTTGCCCCTTCTTCGTTGTTTGACCCTGAACACAACCACTCCACTTCCAACCTCATCGGACACCATTACTGTGGGACAGCATCATTTGGTTCAATACCAAAACCATCATCATCAAAGATTCATGGTTCCTAGTGTTCATCTCCTTGTGTGCATCTAATGTATAAAGCTAATGGTGAAAATTCTTTACATCTACTCTGCAGTGTAGTTGGTTGCCTCCAAATGATCTCAAACAATTGTTCAATGCCACTTTCTTTACCACTTCAAAAGGAGAGAGGGAGGATTTTATGGAGAAGAGAAAGTGAGGCTATTTTATTTTGCGTGTGGGACGAAAGGAAAGGACAACCATTAATAAATAATAATATCTCCATCAAAGTAGCACATTGCATCAGGACTATGGAGCTGCTGCTTCTTTTACAACTGACAACATTATATAAGAAACTGAAAGGAAGTAGATGATTCTGCCCCAAGCAGGTCAATAGTACAAGTGTAATGGTGCCCACCACAGGCATCATATATCAAGCTGAATTTTAGCGGGCAACCTAGGTATTGGGCACTGGAGTGGTTAGAAATCACAAGGCAGACATCATGATTATATATTCGGAACCTATTAGTGTTGGGGATTCAATAGTACAGAGCTAAAGGCTGTTTTGACAGGTCTGAAAAGGTCTAAAGATATGAAGTACAGCAATATAATAAACAAAGAGGACTCTAATCTCTTAGCAGGTTGCTTTGTAAGTATTGATGAGGGAACACGCAAGCACAGATAGAAGATCAGAGAAACTAAAGAGATGATAAAGGAATTGAGAGCAGTCACACAATGAACATCTAGGTCTGCTAACAGTCTTGCAGATGAGTGGGTGAAACAGGGGGTAACAAGGAATTCAATGTATTTGGAAATTTATACAACACAGGGGGACTTGTGCTTGATACTGAATCTCACAAGGAAGTTAAGTCAAGGCTGACAATCCCTCTACTCCTATATACATTAACTTTTCCTAATAAATAAAATTTTCACCGTCACTGATTAAAAAAATGAGTAACCTGGCCAGCAGTTCATTATCATTGTTGCTCATGATAGGCAGTAAAAGGGGTTCCAGTGATTCACATACCTACTCTATGCTTCAATAGACAGGACAGTTTAAAGTCTTTCTCTTTTCATTTTAGATTGATTTAAAAATTCTAAACATATAACCTAAAATAATAAAATAATACTTATTTTATTTTATAAATATAAGAATCATTAAACTCAAATGGTTCCACAGAAACCACCTGTGTTTTGGAAATTCAACCAATTCTCATAAAATCATCCAGTCCAATTACAGACTTCTGAAAAAATGAAAACCAGGATTCTAAAAAACTAGAAATATTACTAGGTCGCATTCCAAACATCCAACCCAGTGTTTTAAAAGCGCAAGATGCAAAAAAGGCGCAGGGGTCAATTTGCACCTGAGACGCAAGGCGCAAGGCGAGGCGCACGCCTTTTGAAGCAAGGCACAAAATAAAAAAAAAAGGTCAGAAAATTCAAAAAAAAAACAAAAAATATTAATAAATAATATAAAGTTAAATTTTAAAATAAATGATTTAAAAAACCTATTATCTAAAATTAAAATACATAAACATAAGATGTAAAGAACATTCAAATGAGAATTTAAAAATAAAATCAAACGTATAAAACATTTTCAAGCATGTAAAACCTCTAGTCTCTTTTTTCACTCAATTGCATTACTTCAAGTAGCTAATGTAATGTAAAACATATTACATTCCTGATTCTATGAGCCGCCTTGTGCCACGCCCCTCGAGGCAAGCCCAAACAAGTCCATGTTAGGTCTTAAATTCTTAGTTTTCACACAAAAAATAATGATTTTATAGTTTTAATTGCTTTTTAAGAAGACATTTTATTAGGAAGAATGAATGAGCAACATTACCAAATTAGGGGTTCGCGGAGGCATTTTATTAGGCGAGGCGTCAAACTTTCAAACATATTGCTTTTTAAGAAGACATTTTATTAGGTGAGGCGTCAAATTTTCAAAAGATGCACGCCTGGGCCGAGGCGCAAGGTGCACCAGGCGTGCGCCTTTTGAAAGGGCTGTGCCTAGGACCTAGGCGAGGCACATACCCTGAAATGTGCCTCGCCTGTGCGCCTAGGCGCGCCTTTTAAATCACTGGTCCAACCATCTGATCTGATCCATGTCTAGCAACATTGGTTGTAAATAATATCAGTCATAAAATCAAAAGTGATGACTCCAAAACAAAATTACACAGAATAGATATTTTTTTATGCCCACAGGCCCCACACAGAATAGATAGAGAAGTTACTCTTTGTTTGCAGTAACTCCACAAAAATGGTGCAGAAGATACTCCAGACTGTTCCTCTCCAATTGCAATATCCTTGAAGCCTGTATATCCAATAAAATAAAATATATAAAAATAAACAGGAGAAATGATGGATATATCACTTCTTTTATTGACCAATAATAATGTGAAACTTATTTTATTGGAGATGCAAAAATGGACAATTACCATGAACAGAGAATCAGAAAGAATTTATAATATAAAACAATATAGTGCTGTTAACAACAGATCAAAATAAAATAAAAATATGCTCAATGCAATTGTTCAGCCCCTGGATGCATATATCATTTTTTATTGGTAACTGAACCCCTTTATTAATTGCAGAAGAAATTATGGTATAATTCAACCATTCAAACACAATTTCATGTGTTAGTCCAGCTACATATCCCTTGAATCTCTGTCTTTGTTTTTAAGTTGCAATTTTATCCTTCTCCCCAGAAATGATTCCTAAATATAATTCTGTTTTTTGACTCATTGTTCAGCAAAATCATCTTCCATACTATTGCATGATATTTTGAATCCTTATGAAAGCAAGCCTCCAAAATTCTAGATAGAGATGTCTGATTTCTCTCAGAATATGCCTATATTTCTAAGCCCCCCCCCCATTATTGTTTTTGAGCCACTCTACAATGTCCTTTGAGTCCCCATCTACTTGCAAACAGTTGTATTCGAGGTTTCTCCCTATTCTTAGAGTACAGCTGCTACAGCAATTACTAATGCTCTTATTCAGTTTCCATACTATATGTCCTGAATTTAATGCTGCTACAGACTATAGTGTCATCATCATGTCAAAGACTCTAAACCCATATCCTTGTCAGAGATGCTACAAAATAGACAAAAGAAGTTGAAAGGGTGTGGCTTACCTTGCGCACACCCAAAAGAATTGTATTATATATCAAAATAGTACACAAAAGAGAAAGAACAATTGTACTCTCCTCTAACAAAATATAAGAAAAAGGCTATGAATACGATAAAAAGATAAATTATAACATACATAAGATACAAGAGAAAATGGTACTCACAACCAAGTCACCTGATAGTATCTCTATACCCCCCCCCCCCTCAAACTGATGTCAAGGTAGCAGCATCAATTTGTCAGCCAATAACTTGTGGCAAGGACGTGTATAGCCTTTGTGAAGATGTCAACGAGTTGAAGACCAAACAAAACATGGGGAAGAGTGATGATTCCAACAAGATCCTAATCTCTAATGAAATGGCAACCGACCTCTATTGTTTAATGCGCTCTTGAAAACATGATTAGAGGCGACCTTGATGGCACTGACATTATCTGCATGGTTGGGAATAGGAGTATGAATTTAAATGGTGAAGATCACTAAGAAGAGCCTGAAGACACACAACTTCACTACAGATAGACAACATAGCTCAATACTTTGCCTCAGTGGAGGACTTGGAGAAAATCTGTTGTTTCTTGCACTTCTAGGAGACATGGGAATCACTTAAGAATATGCACCAACATGTTATAGATTTTCTAGTGTCAGGGCAGCCAGCTTAGTTCACATCATCATAGGCTAACAGATTCAGAGATGATGATAAGAAAAATAGCCCACATGAGACAGTACCCCTAATGAACCTAATGATCCGGATGACGACGGTCATATATGGTTGTCTGGGAGAAGAAACAAATTGACCGAGAACTTGAACATATGAGAGAGATCAAACCTTGTCATTGTTAGATAGATAAGGCTACCAACAAGTAGTCAATAGTTCACCATTGTCTTTAGATAATTTGAGGTTCGCCTCAATAAGAGTATCCACGTATTTCTCATCATTAAGGCAAGCTCACTGAACCAAATCCGTTGCATACTTTTGTTGATTTACAAAGCATCCTTAACAGGAACAAGTCTTCCAACCCTAGAAAATAGGTCAGAGGGCCATGGTATTTTATCTTGAACGATTGACTCAATCAATTCTTGAGTTAAGAAAAACCATCATGGTCATCACCGGTAATGAGTGTATCATCAACCTACAGAAGAAGAGTGATTCCTTGAGACCATTGCAGAACAAAGAGAGAATAGTCAAAAGGACTCTATATAAACCCAGCCTCTATAATGACAGAACAAAACCCCTCTCGAACTAAGCCCAAGGAGTCTGTTTAAATCCATAAAGAAATCTCTTAAGGCAACAAACTATAGTTGAATCATCACATTACCTAGGAGGAGGCTTCATAAACATTGATTCCTTCAAGTGACCATGAAGGAAAGCATTCTTGACATCCATTTTGTTGAAAGCTGTTATTTTTCCTTAGTACCGCAGGGTACTATTGTACCTTTACTTTTTATTTTTTTAGTTGCTGCCGCCCTAGTATATATAACAAATAGCTGGCACCGCCAGCACGCTTTTGACTCTCAAATATTTCTTCTCTCTTCTGCTCTCTCTCCTCTTTCTTCCTCTCTTCTTTTCTCTTTCATCATTGCACTGATAACACATTTGATGGATCCCATCGTTTAACTACTGAGATGGCTAAAACGAATTGAACTGTACTCATCTTTGCAACGAGTGCAAATGTCTCCTCATAATCAATCCCAAACTCTTGCTTGTTTTCTTGTGCAACCAGGCGAGCCTTGTATCTATCAAGGCTACTATCGAACTTCAACTTGACCAAATAAACCCATTCTCTTGCCAATGGTTGAGGCATCTAGGGGTGCAAGGATAATATCCCAAGTATCATTCTCTATGAAGACCTGAATTTCAGCATCCATAGCTTCTTTGCAGTATGGAATTGCCATTGCATGTTGATGAGTCTTTGAAATATCTATAGATGACAAGACAGCAGAAAAGGAGCAATGGTTGGTGGGAAAACTAAGTGGTCAGGAGATAATAGAGATATGAGAGGAACAACATAGAACAGGAGGAGAGAATGAAACAAGTGCAGAGGAAGAAGGCTCTAGAATAGTACTTACAATATTCTAGTGAAGAGACTCAAAGAGGGTAGAAGTGGAGCTCATAATACTTGTAGAATCAAATGAATGCAAAACAAAGACAAAAAGAGAAAGGAGTTTAACAATATGAGCAAGGAAAGAAATGCTCTAAAGAATGACAACATTTCTACAAATCCAAATCCGCTAAGATTAAGAGTTATATAACAAAAAAAAAAAAACTTATGATCCAAGCTATTTCCCATGAAAGCACGCAAAGCCAATTGAGAAGTCAGCTTCATGCTTTCCATGTGGAGGAAGATGAGCGAAGAAAGTACAACAAAAAGCATGAAGCCAATTGAGGTACCTCTTACCAATACATAAGTCTTCCTTCAGCCCCATATCAGCAGTACTCCAATCTTCTCCATATACTCATATCTTCTCCACATACAATTTCTATTTTACCTTTACAGGCACACACCCAACTATCCTTCTCCTTCGTTATAAATTTTTCCCCTTTATTGTGTTCTTCCAGTAACTCACATCTCCACCTCCCTCTTCTGCTTCCACTCCTACCCCTCTTGAGCTCCACCAGCTCCCTCAGCCTCCCCACTTTGCTCCTTCCTATTCTCCAAATCTACATAGCTACTTCCTTCATCCCCCCCAATCCCTTTTATAATGTTTGAATTCAAATTGGGCTTATCATTATCACAGAGGGAAGCTGAAGATTCTGCACCAGCACCTGCAGAGTTGTTAGCACCAGAAACTAAAACAACAAGGTTACCTGGACTACCTGAGGGCAAAGAATTAGGCACTAAATGAGGAATCACCAAGACCACTTCCTTTCTTGTTCCAGCTTGTGGTTCTCATCCCCTAAATGGTTTTGGGAGGTAAAATTGTGTACTTCCTGATGCTTTTTACAATATGGATGTGCACAGGTGACTTTACAATCATCTTAAGGGTTCATACAGACGGAGAAAAATTAAGACCTTCATAGCTAATTTCTATCAAATTTAGCAAGAGATAAATGCATGATCTTCGAGAATAGTTGATACAAGATGGTGATAAGGTGCATGACACAGCCGATAGCAGTGTCTTAAAAGGCGTGCCTAGGCACACAGACAAGGCACATTTCAGGGTATGCACCTCACCTGAACCCATCTGCAGCCCTTTTCAAAAGGCATGCACCTGGTGTACCTTGACTCCTTGAGTGTCATCCCAAGCAAGCAACTTTTTAAAATTGTCTTTTTTCTGTGGATGCTTTTGTGCTCTACACTTTTGGTAATGGTTTATCATCTACTGAATTACCTTGTATTGATATTTGTACACAAGTAGTGGTCTACTAACCTTTAAAATAAACAAAAACAATGATCTTTCAAATACTTAAAGCCTTAATTCTTACAAATGGTATCTTAAAATGCAAATTTTCCAAGAAAAAAGAAAAAACAATACAATTAATATATGATATTTGATTTTTTTATCAATAACTTAAGTTCATTAATTATTAAGCCAAAGGAAGATACAAAAAGGAGGAGATTAACTCTCTAAACTCCCCAGATAGAAGCCATAAAATGAATTACAATATAACCAAAAAAATAGAGTTTCTTCCCACCTCTTGTTTATCTAAGCATCAGCCATGGAGTTGGCATCTCTCGTAACCCAATTCAGCTCGACATTCATTCCTAGCGTCAAGTATCTAAATCTCCTTTTCTCATTCATGAAAGCCCACCATCCCCTCCTCTTTTTGAAGCCAGCCACCAATAACCAGTTTAGAATCCCCTCCAATTAATATCTTAGTAAGGTTATGCTCTCTAGCTCTCTTGGCTATAGTTTTCAAGGCGCCAAGGCGAGGCTAGGTGACCATGGGGCGCCCAGGCGCCTAGCCCTCGCCTAGGCGATGGAATTTAAAAATAAGGCTTTCTACACCTTTTGAACTAGTTTTTTTGGTTTTATGTATTCTGCACTTACTTTTGTACTTGTATTTCTTGCTGTGTAAATTCAAGTAGGCAAAACAATATATTAGAGTTGCCACTTACAAGTTAGAACTTGAAAGAACTGAAGGGGCGGAGCCCCTATTTTAGATCAACAATACATAGGGAACAAATACTAAAATAAAAGAAGAAAATGAAAAAGAAAAGTAGGGGGCGGAGCTCCTGTTCTAGACCAGA